TTTATTAACTCTTCTAGACCCGTTGTGCTTTTCACTGTAGCTAAATCCATTTCGCTCATCACTGATTCTCGAATGTTAGGACTTCTTGTCGGATTAACTTAAGGAAGAGTTTAAGCTGCTGCCATCTCTTGTTTAACGGCTTCCAAATCGGTTACTTCAGTCCATAGTCTCACTTCTACTGTCCACTGACAAACTGAGGCGGAACTTTAAACGAAGACTAATTTGGAGTATTGTTCACTTTAAAAAGGTTAAAAAGCTGTGCGCCACGATAGCTCCAAGAAACGCGTTTGGGTTGTCCTCAAAAATGGAATTTTATTAATTTCTTGGTAATTGTTTTGGTTATTGTATGTGGTTCATCGTATAAAAAAGATTTAAGAAAAGTTTCGCTGCCGAAATTTACTAGTAAACAAACTTCAGCAGTTGGTAACTAAATAATTATGAATGGTCAAAATATTCGTGTTTTGCAAATCAATCCTAAAACTTTCAAAGCTAGTCAAACAAAAATGTTGCATGTTGTTTTTTTGCAACATACAAAAGTAAGAGTCAGCTATAACTCGTACCTCCATACATCAGAACTCCACTCTCGTATTCAATTATGTGTTAACATTTGAGACATGCTTAGAGATCTGCTTAGGGACCTATTTTCAATTCTAACATTTACAGCACTGCTTTCGCACATTGGTTCTTACAGAGGCTACATGAGTCAAAAACATCACGTTTGAGTCTATATGGACGCTTAAAAACTTGCATCAATTGGAAATCTTAAGTTTATTCTTATCTTTAGTTAAACTGGAAGCATTTTTGGATGGAAAATAATTGTTTTAACTTAAACCAGTGAAGTTTTAAAAAATCATGTCAAGTGCTGACATCGGTAAAAAAAACGTTTGGCACTGAGACTACTATTGCTATCTCATTAAACCAATTGATATCTTTAATATTCGTATCGTACACTAAGAGAAAAATTAGCATTTTATACCTGATTTTGGACGATAATTTATTCCAGATTTAAACCATGACAGTACTCCTAAGTGTACATTGACAGCGCATCCCCCATAGGATCAAGAATTTTAGGTTCGCAAGTTTTTTGTAATCTTAACTTTTTGAAAAAAGAAGGAAAAAATCATCAGAAACGCCATATCTCGCAAACCTCAAGGATTCGAGCAGTATTATCTAGAGGCTAGATTTACAACCATTTATTACGCCTTGAGAACACCCCATAATAGGGTTGAGCATACCAAGTTCTGTGAGTTCTTTTTAACTCTAAGTCTTTCTGAACAACATGAAAAACTCATGAAAATTTCGGATACCAAAAGGAATTGGACTGAATTTTTGAGATGCCTGGTTTACAAACCCTGATTGTTCTTTGACATTTCCCGACTAGAGGGTTGAAAACTTTTTTTGATGAAAAAACGCAATATCTCGGAAACTAAACGATTTTGAACAGTAATTTTTTGAAAAATGTCAGAAAACACCATTGCGTGGCGATCTACACCTGTGTCTATGGATATTGCCAATTCCACATCCAAATGTGCAGCACGGAGAAAAACGCAATTTGGGATGCGTTTCCCTTGGGTGATCATATCGACCTAAGAAACCTGCTATTCGAATCCGACTTCTCTATATAGCAACTCGAGGTACTTTATTAACTCTTCTAGACCCGTTGTGCTTTTCACTGTAGCTAAATCCATTTCGCTCATCACTGATTCTCGAATGTTAGGACTTCTTGTCGGATCAACTTAAGGAAGAGTTTAAGCTGCTGCCATCTCTTGTTTAACGGCTTCCAAATCGGTTACTTCAGTCCATAGTCTCACTTCTACTGTCCACTGACAAACTGAGGCGGAACTTTAAACGAAGACTAATCCAATCTCCTGCTACTATGTAATAAAACTAATCAGATATTTTATATTTTGAAATCGTTATACTGATTCGGGAGGAAATGCGTGTTTTCAAAATTGTGCCCCAAAACCTTAAATGTTTCTCTACTAAAATAATAACGAAGAGTCAAAGTTTACGAGACATCGGAATTTTCCCGAAAACCTAGCCTTTCTTTCACAAAAAGAATAAGGAGTAACGGCTTTTGCACGAAAAATTTGCGCAACCGTTTCTTTCGGTTGAATTTTTTTATCTCAGATTTTATAGGGTAGTTTTCAAAAAAAATCAAATTTCTAAAAAACGGTCAAAATTCAAAAACTTGACTTTCCAAAATCGGTAACTTTTTTCTGTTAAAAGCAGGTCGTGGCCGGTAAAGTAGAAAATATTCTCAAAATCAGGTTGCTCAAATGAATATTCCCAAAACCTGAGAATTGGCACAGTAATTTCCGAGTAGTAGAAAAAAAACTTCCAAAAAAACAGTCTAATTTTCAAAACTTTCACTTGTTTGAAGGTTCCTGTTGTTTCGATTAAACCCATGATACCAAATTCTTCTGAATCGTTTAACCAAAAAAGTACAAAAAACGGTCAACAAATCAGAAAGATGACTTTTCCGAGAATCGTATCTTTTTGTTTTAAAAAAAAATTGGGAGTAACCACTTATACATAAAAGTTTCAACCAATCTGTTATTTCGATTGAACCCAAAAACCCAGGTTTGGCAGGGTAGTTCTCGAGAAAAGCCAAAAACTTTCAAGAAACGGTCAAAAAATCAAAAATTTGACTTTTTCGAACCCATAACTTTTTGTGTCAAAAAACATTGTACGTATTTTTGTCTGCAAAGGAGTTTATCACATATTGTTTTTCGGCTTAAACCCAAAATCTCAGATATGAGAGAGTATTTTTTGGTTAAACTCATAAAAATTAGAAAAACGCTCAAAAAATTGGATTTTCCGAAGTCGATAACTTTTTAGGCATCGTGATTGGCCGCTAATGCAGGGAAGCTTCCGACAACTCGTTATCGCCATTGAACCCACAGCCTCAGGTTTGGAAGATTAGCTCTAGAGAGAAATTAACAAAAGATTCAAAAATGATCAAAAATTTGACTATTCCGAAGGCCAAATTTCGAGGGCCGAATTGACTATTCCGAGGTCCTATTCCTAGCTATCGTTGAAACCAAAATCTCAGATTTTGTAGGCTAGTTTTTCTCCCGAAAGACCTTTTCGAAGGCTGTAGACAAACGGAAAAAATAAACCAGGGGAGTATGCAGGCACACAAGAATGTAGACAGTCTTTCTATGGATACCCCTTTTTTGAAATTGGTAGAAGGGTTTTTGAGGAAGGCAAAAAACTTTTGTTAAAATTATTTAAAATTTCCAAAGCGTCTAAATAAAAACCCATACACTGCCATAATACCTGCTGTTTTTCAAACAAGATTTCTAGGCAAAAATACCAGGCAAAAGAGCAAGACATTTCACATTCAAATTAGCAACTGAACATAATTTGCGAAGTAAAAACAAGGCCGACAACCTTTGAGCAGACACCAGTTGAGCCAAAAAAAACTTGATAATTAAAAAACTTCAAGTTTGCATGAACCAAATAAAACTGCTAACTCTCAAAGCCTTACATATCAACCGCTTGAAACCCTATATTAATCGAAAGGAAGAGTGCAGGTCACGCGAACTCACCATCAAAATTTAGCACTGTTCATTGTCCCATCGCTGTGTGGCATGAAATCCTTGTTTCTTCATGTTTACGGTGCTTTATCTGTAAACTTCTGCTAATTTATTATAGTTTGTGTACATTTTTAGGATTTTACGGGTTTTACATTGGATATGAATTAAGATACTGATGATGAATTTGTTAAGCCAAAACTTTTGATCATTGAATGTCTTTTCTCTTGGCGTACGCTGTAGTAACTAGTACCCAGCCAGTAGTTAAATTTGAATTGTCGTGACATTTCATTGTCATGACTGAATTGTAATTGTCATGACTGAAGACCTTGTCAAGGGAGTCAACTGATTTTGCTAAACTAGTTGTTAACCCGAAAAACATAGCCAACTGACAGTTGAAGAGTAATGAACGCAAGTAAACAAAAAACGCTGACTTTGATAAAAAATCTCAGTGTTCGAATTTCACAGAAAAAAATAGATGCCCTTTAATCACGTTGAAATTCTAGAACAATTTACGATTGGCGTTTTTTAAATAATAATAACCCAACTTGAGAAAAGTGGATCAATAGGCAAAGTTTTTACTCCGCTGGAAATCTAAAAATTAAATTCCACTTTCGAAACTAGAAAACGCTCATGTTTTAGCGCCTTTTCCAAGTTCATATTTGGAGAGTGCTATTTACGTAACTTTCAGCAGATGAACTTCAATTGAACCCAAAAAGTGCATATATGCCTAAGTGCACATATGTATGAATGCACATCTGTAGTTATTAGTGCATTTTAAGATTTTTCCTGAAAAAAAAATCACCAAAACCTATAAAAGAATATTCACAACGGTCAGTACTCCTAAAGTCACTATTCAGATTTGATAAACGCTTGCTAATCGCAAGCGTAATTAGAAATTTCACAGTTTTTATGTGTGAAAATCAGTGATAAAGGAAAACCGATGTCAAAATGAGAATTTTCAGGCTAACTAACTTCGTTCCGATTCGTTGATCGAAACGATATTGCTTACAACTTGGCATTAACGCTAAAATTGTGAGAGGGAAAAAAGAAAGAGCCAATAATAAGGCACGACAAGGGTGTAAGCCTAATATTCCCTTCTAAAATATGATTTCAACCTTTTATAGAACCTGAGTTTGTCTTTTGATTATGATCATTTCATGTATTTGATTCTTTGAGAAGAATTTTGAAGTTATCTAACTTTCTTGGTTTCCTCTCAATTAAGCTCCAATTTCGCGATTACTTTCCCCGAGTTTTCCAGTTTGCGTGTGAATGATAAAAGATTTCTCTATCACAACTAAATTTATTTAACTCAAAAGGATACTGACTTTTTCCTTACCGCTGCACTTGAGCCCCTAGCTATCTTGTAAAACATGCTTTTAATCAATTAATAAAAATCATCCATGCTTGACGCTGACAGTCAGCAATCAAAAAAAATTTCCTACAAAATAAGCAACTCACCAAAAATGGACTCCATATTGTAATTTGGATCACTCACATAGCCAGTCATCGGAAACAATGAGTAGCTACATTGTTCTTTATTTGCATTTTCCTTCCAAACGGAGGCAGGAGCCCAGCTCAAAGCAGTTTGTGAAACTGCGTCAGTCCAACGTCTTCTGCCGGGAGGCTCGCCTATTTTAGAGTCTTTTCTCAATCCTCTTCCTCTGCCACCCATTCACAATCTGCAATATCAACATCTAGCAGCTCAATTTCGAAAACAAAACTGAATTATAGGGCCCTTCCATTTTATTATTTCTTTTTCACTCTAAGAAAACTGATATAGAGTGAGTAGTATAGTAAAGCTAAACCCCTCTGCGAAAGTGACAACCTCTCTTTTTCGTTTAAACTGATTACTGGAACAACAAGATAGAATTAATTCCCTTAATTTATTTTTTATGGGTAATCAGATGGTCAAAAGTATCATAGTAACCGAGGTTACAGTCAGGAGTCCCTTCATCACGTATTCCAGTCAAAATCCTTGGATTAGAATTTAACAAAAATAGTTATAAGAAATTTAAAATTTTAATTCGAATGTTTTCGCACAATTTGTGCATCATCAGGATTAAAATTTTTTACAATATTTACAAAACGATCAAAGATCTGAAAAAAGAGAAACATGTCTTAAATTGCTTTAAAATTTTTTGACCAATCAAATTTAAACAACTGCAAATAAATAATAAATTACATAATCAATAATAACATTTTCCTGTAAAATTCTGATATTTATTTTTCGCTTTTTGTTCTTTCAAGGTTATAAGACTTCGCGTTGGGAATATTTTGATTCTGACATGCCAATTTTTAAATTTTTAGCCATGTTATACATAGACTATAATTTTAGTGTTAATTTCCTAGTCCTGAATTCATCGCGTGGGTTGATCCTCGCCCTCTCCCTCCAAATATGCAAAGCCTCTAGTGTGAGTAGCTTATGAGTTTTGAAGAAATTTTTGCTAAAAAGTAAATTTCGAGCGTTTTCGCAACTATGTGCATCGTCAGGATTTTTACAATAAACTAATCTAAATGACAAAAAAAAACATCAATTTACAAATGTTATTTACAATAAATCACATACAATTTGGTTCTAAACCATCATGATAAAAAATTAGCTAATCACAGTTGACCTCTAAATTACTATTAAAATTAAAATACTTTTAAACTCTAAAATACTTTGAAACTTATGAGTGTTGGCTGTTTGGTCTATAATCTCTGGCTTCAGCTCAGCAGTACCGCCAACCTCCTTATTACACTCTAACAAGTGTTGCCCTACTGGGGAGTCCCCTCTGCGGTGTTCATCAACCCTCGCTGCTAAATTTCGGACTGTCTGGCCGACATAGGTGGAGTTATATCCACTACATGTACAAGCTTATACACCACTTTAAATCTCAGTTCACGAGCAAGGGAAGTTTTGAGGGATGGCAAGCATGTTTTCAATTTTCTTGCTCTAAAAGTTATTTGTGCCCCGGATATTTGCCGAACCTTTGCAACTAACAGTTGAGATGAATTGCCTCGATATTGCATTGTATAAAGCGTCGCGGTTAGTCTTTTAACCATTTATCATTTCTCGGTACTGATGCCTTCACCTCTAAACTTTCCTTTCCCTCAATGATCTTGTTATTCGCATTCTACCCCTTTAGTCGGATATGTCACCTTTTTCTGACATCCAGGGTAGACCTCCTTGTTACCCTCACTTAGCACAGTCAAATTTGGTCTTCTTTCTTTAATGCAGGTTCGTATTCTTTTAGCCACAAATTGGCTAGTATTTTTGCAAGGGATTCGCCCATTGCTAAATAATCTCCTAAGGGCTATTTCAACCGCTTCCTTGAGTGGAATGGTGCCGGTATTCCACTATTCTAACTCTTTTTAGCGATAAACTTTCAGCAGACTGTAATATTCATTCAAGGAATACGGTCCTTAATTCGATTTTTTTTCTCTATTTGTACAGAATTTTACTATCGCTTTTTGTTCATAATGTCAGTAGTGTTTGAGTTAAAATGGCGATGAATGTAGCTGCCGGCTCCCTTTATCCCAGCCTGAAAAATCTTGAGCTAGAGGAATGGAGAGAGACGCAGCAGACGGTCTAGGCAGTCCCCGGCCTTTCTTTAAACCCCAATACCCTGAACAGGGGGAAGAATTTACGAATATTATTGGAACAGCAAACTCTGACCAGTAGGCAGATTATCCTCTGGCACGATGTTCTGAACAACAGCATATCCTCCCATCGCACTAACAACTATACGCCCTGCCCACTTGATGAACTACTGGCGTATCCACAAACGAAGCGAAGACAACAAAGTGCCATTGTCTACGGCAGGAGAACGGGCACTCCCAATATTTTTGAGGATATGCGGAAGATAAAGATAACCGCCAGAAAGACAACCGGTAAGCTTATCTCTAGAAGCAAGAGACAGAATCCTGCGCTCCTCAGAGAGTATCTCCAACTGCACCAGTCAAGTGAATTGGAACTGAAGTCACTACGGGCATTTTTTTTAAAGATACGGACCCAGGCCAAAAAACCATCGCAGGGACGTCGCAGAGCAAAGGCGCGGAGAACGAAGGTGTTGGCTGGGGACCTTCAGCCGGAGTCGAACGACCAATAAGTGGTAAAACATTGTTGAGGCTGTTTTTTCTTTGCTGAGTGCCACATGAGTTTAAGTGCTCGTGGCCTCCAAAGAAGAGATGACCGTAATTGTGCTGCCACCACCACTCCTTAGATTTGTCCTGAAAATAAAACTCACTTGGAAACTTGTGTTAAAGTTTTTAAAAACAATTTAATAAATTTAATAGCAGTTTCCTGAGAATTAAATTTCTGAAAAAATGTCTCCATAACGACATTATACCAGATTTTTTACGGTTTCACGTGCCTGATAAGAGTGTTTTTCGGATCAAGCGGTGCACAGCTTACAATTGAGACTCTTGAGATCTGAGATAAGCCAGGCAAAAGCGGATATGGCCAAAGCATCGGGTAACCTAGCAAAAACAAGTGGCTTTGCCGCTTTGGGTGCGAGAAGTCTTGAGTTTTGAACCAAAACATCCGGTACGAGGCAAATTTAATTAAATTCACTTTCTTGCGGACATTAACAGTTTTTTGTCTGATTGAAGTTAAATAGATTACCCGGGGAAAAATTATGTGAGACTGAAGCATATCCAAAGCGTATCAGATTGAAGAATGACATATCCGACTAAAGGGGTAGAATGTGAAGCTTGTTTGAATTGGTACCACTTAGGTTATGGTAACATATCGGAATCCGAATAAGCAGACATCGCTGAAACAGTAAGGTCTTCCATTGCTTGCGAAAAACAACAGGAAGCAGATCGGGCTGAGAATGGTGTTAAAGTTTTTCTAAGATATGTGGACGACAAAGTTAGAACTGTCAAGGGCGATCCTGGGTTACTTCTCGAAGTTGCATCCAAAGTTGTAGTTCACCAACGAAGAACTTGATAGTAACGGTAATGGGGCCTTTTTGGATTTAAAGTCAACGTGGACTCAGGAAAAAGGTCACATGTGGGTGGTACCAAAAACCCAGTGATACCAGCACCACTCTAAATTTCAGAGGTTGCTCCTCTTTGCAGTACAAAAGAAACGTCATTGAAGGTACGGTTCAAGGGGTTTTCAGAAGTGCCTCAACATGGGAAAATTTTGACCAGGCACTGGAAAAAAAATCGGAAACAATGGATTGAAAATCAATATCCGAAGAATTGGTCAGACAGGGTAGTGTTTGAAACTCTTAAAAAGATAATTGAGGGAAGACAGAGATAATCGCCCTAAAGACAACCGGTAACCTTATCTCTAGAAGCAAGACACAGAATCCTGCGGTCCTCAGAGAGTATCTCCAACTGCACCAGTCAAGTGAATTGGAACTGAAGTCACTACGGGTTGTGCTTCACTACGGGTTGTGCTGTCCCATCGAGATAACCTGCCAGGAATTTTCTCAAAGATACGTGCCCAGGACAAAAAACCATCGCAGGGACGTCGCAGGGCAAAGGCGCGGAGAAAGGAGGTGTTGGCTGGGGACCTGCAGCCGGAGCCGAATGACCAAAAAGTGGTAAAACATTGTTGAGGCTGTTTTTTCTTTGCTGAGTGCCACATGAGTTTAAGTGCTCGTGGCCTGCAAAGAAGAGATGACCGTAATTGTGCTGCCACCACCACTCCTTAGATTTGTCCTGAAAAGAAAACTCACTTGGAAACTTGTGTTAGAGTTTTTAAAACAATTTAATAAATTTAATATTAGTTTCCTTAGAATTAAGTTTCTGAAAAAATGTCTCGATAACGACATTATACCAGATTTTTTACGGTTTCACGTGCCTGATAATAGTGTTTTTCGGATCAAGCGGTGCACATCTTCCAATTGAGACTCTTGAGATCTGAGATAAGCCAGGCAAATGCGGATAGGGCCAAAGCATCGGGTAACCTAGCAAAAGCAAGTGGCTTTGCCGCTTTGGGTGCGAGAAGTCTTGAGTTTTGGATCAAAACATCCGGTACGAGGCAAAATTAATGAAATTCACTTTCTTGCGGACATTATCAGTTTTTTGTCTGAATTGAGTTAAATAGATTACCCGGGGAAATTTATGTGAGACTGAAGCATATCCGAAGCGTATCAGATTGAAGAATGACATATCCGACTCAAAGGGTAGAATGCGAAGCTTGTTTGAATTGGTACCACTTAGGGTGCGGTAACATATCGGAATCCGAATAAGCAGACATCGCTGAAACAGTATGGTCTTCCATTACTTGCAAAAAACAACAGTAGGCAGATCGGGCTGAGAATGGTGTTAAAGTTTTTCTAAGAAATGTGGACGACATAGTTAGAACTGTCAAGGGCGATCCTGGGTTACTTCTCGAAGTTGCAACCAAAGTTGTAGTTCACCAACGAAGAACTTGATAGTAATGGTAATTTGGCCTTTTTGGATTTAAAGTCAACGTGGACTCAGGAAAAAAGGTCACAAGTGGTTGGTACCAAAAACCCACTGATACCAGCACCATTCTAATCTTCAGAGGTTGCGCACCTTTGCAGTACAAAAGAAACGTCATTGAAGGGACGGTTCATAGGGTTTTCAGAAATGCCTCAACATGGGAAAATTTTGACCAGGCACTGGAAAAAAATCGGAAACAATGGATTGAAAATCAATATCCGAAAAATTGGTCGCACAGGGTAGTGTTTGAAACTCTTAACAAGATCATTGAGGGAA